GAGAGCCTCATGGAGTCTTCTTGTCGACAAAAGATGCTCGGTAGTCCTCCGATGGGTATCCCACGAAGGTAGATTGATCGGTGAGGGTGCGCGTGATCAGGAACCGGATGGTGATACAAGACGTAGAGACAGCGATTTAGACATGTTCGGGCCGTCTGATCGACGTAATACCCTACGTCATGTGTCTTTGGTGTATTGTATTGAGATATGGTAGCGGTCGACTAGGGGACCCCTGCCTCTCCTTATATACTCTGGAGGGGTAGGGTTATAAGAAAAGTATCATATTTGGTACTATGTAATAGCTTGCGATGCACGTCGAGCAGCGTCGTGCACGCCTTGATCTTGTAGGCTGGGCCATCTCTGATGGTGCAGCTCATGTCTTGTCTTGTGGATATTGGGGGTCATATCCCCCACACTTCTAGAGTCTTCCTGTGTTGTTTACGCTGCGGAATTTCATGATTTTCTTTGACGAATAGGTCCTCCTTGATGGTTTTCAAATTAAATGCTGCTGACAACACAGATTCACCGAAACTTGTGGAATTTGTCAATTTAAACCACTAAATCTATGTTGATGGTCCATTTTAGTCATTTATGGAAGGTAGATTGACGGTTTGTGATTGACATTAACTACCGTCAATAAACGGTCGACACAATGGGGACTAGCGTGTTGACAAGCACGTGAATTTTGGGATAAAATTATCGTGTCATCCTTGTCTTTCTGTTAGTTTATATCCTCGTTACATAAGGTTGTATTTAGTTTCATATGCTTGTGCTTGTGTAGTTACTCTTATAATTAGTTGACTTGTGTAGTTGGCTAGTTATCTTCTTACTTGTGTAGCATAGAAGTAGCTCCCTTGCGTGGCTAATTTGGTTTTAGTAACCTTGTTAGTCACATTGCTTAATTTGTGTAGTTAAGTAATTTGCGCTCTATAATTTGGCTTGTGTAACCTTGTTATTGAACATTGCTAGCGAGTTTAGGTGGCTTTGTGCTTTTGCTTACTTGTAGAAGCTCCCCCGTTGCTTAAAGTACTATTGGTATAAGTTTGTGTGATTTTACTTCTAGAATTGATTATGTGAGCTCTAGTTAGCTCGGCATCTTTCTTGTCTAATTAGGATCTTTATTAGGTGCTTATAAATTTAGACAAATAAGTGTAGTCTTGACTTAGATCGTTAGTTTTAATTTATTTTGTTTAGTTGGTGCATTTATTTTTAGAAAGCACTATTTATCTCCCTCTGGTCCAATCCTACACGAACCTGGACGAGTGGACGTGCAGGCAGCAGCCGTCAGCCGTGCAGCGTTTGCGAACCTGAGTCGGTCGTCGAGCCGAGCACGCCGCCACGCTGCACGCGGAGCAAGGAAGGCCTTAGGCGGCCGCGTCCGCCGTCCGCGTGACTCGTCATCTGGCGTATTACTTTTACTGGGCTGACTGCTGAGTACCGGTGTTTGCGTGGCTGGGGAGGGGCCCATCGGCTCTCTGGGCCTGGGACAGCTGCCCCTCCCGCCCCGCCCCAGGGCCGGGCCTGATTCACACTCATAGTGACGAGTGGCTGGCCAGTGAGTACGAGGCAAAGTACTAGCTGTTGTTGGACTAGTACTCATTTCCTTTGGGGGTGGGGGTGGGGGTGGGGGTGGGTGGATGGGGATAGCGGGAAGGGGATGGGGATAGTACCTTCGAGAACTCATTTCCTTTGTGGGGTGGAGGGGATGGGGATAGTACCTTCGAGAACTCATTTCCTTGAAAATAACTTCTACTACTATGGCTGAAGGAGGAGTATAAAAAAAGTGACCATAGGGGGGCCTTGGCCCCTGCTAGCCCTCTGGTTCCGCCAGTGGTTCAGCGGGTCCAACTGAGTTGGGTCGAAGTGAACCCACTTTTGCTTGTGTTTGGTTGAAAGATTAAGTGAATGGGTGGACCCAGAGTGGAATAACTAATCCAATCAGATGCGGGTCAACCCTGTCCGGCCAAAACGAGCGAACCGCACCAACCCACATCTCGCACAGCCAGAGGCGAAGGCGGGGCATGAGTGGGTGGTCGTGTTGGTAGCGTTGAGAGCGCGAGCACTACGGCGCGATGGCGAGGCGCTAGCGAGCCACGCGTGAGGTGGAGCATGTGTAGCGGCGCGGGGCCTGGCGAGCGACGCGGAGGTGGGGTTCGGTGGTGCAAGCCCTAGCGGCATGGAGGTACGTACGGCACGCGCGAGCGGCGGTGCGGGACGGGGGACCTGGCGTGGGCGGTGCGCCTGGGCGGGGCATGGGCCCTAGCGGGTGCGGAGCTCATGGTCTGCCACCAACGTGGAGGTGCAGCAGGGCACGTCTGGCGGAAGAGCTGCAGGGCAGGAGCAAGCCGCGCCGAGGGAGTCATCCCCAGCAGCAGCGGCAGAGGAACAGAGAAAAAGCGGAAAGAAGAGAACAAGCGGATAGGATGACATGTGAGTCCCACACGTCAGCTACCGCATCCCACATCCATTTGCTCTCAAACCAAACAAGGAACCGGGCAACACGCCCTAATTTGTTCACGAAATTTGAGAGCGTACTCTTTGCTAGGGGTGAAAATGGTACGGATATTTTCCGACCGTATTCGAGACCTAATCCGTTTAGAGGGGTTTAGATCTGTCCGTATCCGAGTCCAAATATTGAACATCCGATATCGTATCCGTATCCGAATACTCATATTTATGATGTCGATATCCAATCATATCCTATCCGGCATGGTTGATACTATCCATATTCGAATCCGAATCCGGGCAGAAATATGAAAACAAATGTAATATCGACGATATCTGTCCGTATCCGATCCGTTTTCATCCCTACTCTCTACGGAGGTCACGGGTACGCTCATGGTGTGTCTTGATCATGTAGTCACATCATCGCATTGAGAAGCATACAATGATACAAATGTTACAAAAAAATCATGGGTAAAAAATATCTAAATATGGGTAAGATTTGGGACTTGCCGAGCTTTTGCTCTTTTTTCAATAAATTTATAGTAGGGTCCTCAACCCCTCCTGTTTCACTTAAAAAAAAGATTTGGGATTTGCTCGTTGGAGTCATGAATAAAGACCGAGTATTTATCAGTGAAGAAAGAAAGAAAGAAAGACTGAATTATTACTGCCTACTAGTATAAAACTCTATGGAGTACTAGGTTTGGAATCCTTCCACGATGCACCTGTAAAAGCATCTTCGCCACGAGAGTAGACAGCTAGGCCTCGTGGTAGTAGCAATCAATCTGTGTTTTTCTTCACGGGCTAATTGCAGAAACGATTAACACTGAGATACTGATGATAGCCTGACTTTCTCGTCGTCTTCTGCGGTTCTGCCGCGCGTTGCCACTGTGCATCGCCGGATCTCACTACTTCTCTGCTTCCCCATCCGTCCTAAAATATATCCGGAGAAGTCAAAATTTTAAAATTTAACAAAAATATACAAAAAAATAATATTAATATTTATATCTCTAAATAAATTTATTTTCAAAATATATTTCACTAACAATTTAAGGATATTTATTAGTCAAATTGATTGCCCTGGAAATAAGAGAAGCGCTTATTTTGATTTTGAGACGAGAGAGTACATCAATCATACACGCGTCCCCATCGATCTGTGTCCCAGTACTGTACATCAGTACTTAGTGCTCGTTCTGAGCCTCGGAGCATCAAATTAAATAAAAGGCAGTTAAATTCATACTAACACTTCAGATTATGTGTCTAGTTAGATGACGTGTTTATTAGTTAGTACCACAGCAAATAGATATATTATGAAAAATCTATTGCACTTAATAACACTTACAGTGAAAATTCATTTCAGGTACCAGAACTTGCTTCGTAGATGTCATATATATATGTCCCTAAAGTCTCAAAATGTATTTTTTTTATTATCCCTGAAGTTAGTTCGGGTCTAATTCAGGCCCAAATGGGTGTTTACCCGACCCGATAGCTGATGTGGCATACTAACTCAACGCTTACATGGATCTTATAGATAGCACCTATGGAATTTTCATATCATAAATTTCAATGTCTTACGTAAATTAATTTAGTGAAACTTAAAATAACTTAATTTGGTACTGGCTAGAATTTAAATCTAGTGGTAGTTTAATCTGAGCCCCAAGGTGTGTTTAATTTTGAACTAGACACCAATTCAGGCCTCCATCTTGGGTGTGCACGGGACCTTTGAGCAATTCAGCCAGCCAAGGGAGAGGCACGCCGGGGATCGATGAGCTGCCACGCTGGGGAAGGGAGAGGCACGTCGGAGGCCGTGACTACGTTGGAGTGTTGTGTGTTGTTGCCTCCGTTAGCATGCTAGGGACCATCGCTTCCTCTGAGTGGAGAAAGGGTGACAGAGTGCGCGCCAGAGGCGGCAACTACTAGAGGCATACTTGGTTTCACTAGGTTGCTTACCTAGGCTAGCCTTACCTTGTTAGCGCGGAGTAGGAGAACCTTGTCCAGCTAGGAGAGCCACAGTGGCTCTTCCAGGCTAGCTAGCAAGGCAAAGCTTGCCTGCAGAAGGGACAAGGTAGTTAGGCAACTCAACCAAATAAGTAATGTTGTTCAATATCCTCTCTCAGCCAGGTCAAACAGTACTCAGCAAATGAACCAAGCAGCCTCTAAGTTGTCTGCGTCGGCGATTTTAGGGTTTGCATTGACGGTTACCTGGGACCTAGGCCCTTATTAGCAAAGGTGGCATTTTTACGTGGCCCACCATTAAAAATGATTTTTTCAGATATTAACCATCTCGTAGTTCTTTGGTCCATTTGTAGAGGCAGTGAGGCTTGACCGTCTCTGTAAATAAAAATGGAGTCTTCCACAATCAGTTTTGAACTAGTGGAACGAGCTGCACGTGCCGTTGCAATGCTCAAAATGCTCAGATATGTTAACGTTACTATATGATAAAATTAGAACCCAACACGAAACGAAAAACAACATGATAGAAAACTCTTCACAATACAACCGTCGCACCGCCTGGGCATTTGAACTAGTGATGAAGCCATCATCCTATCGGTCGACTTTCATTTGGCGAAGAGCACGTCCATGTCCTCGAGGCTCCGTCCCTTGGTCTCCGGCATCCGCGCGTACACGAACGCGCACGCGGCCGCCCCCACGCCGGCGTACAGGAAGAAGCACCCAGGCATGGTGATCGCATCCGCGAGCGAGATGAACGTCATGCTGACCAGCGCGGACGTCAGCCGGTTCACCGCCGTGCCCAGGCTGGCGCCCTGCGCTCGCAGCCGCAGCGGCATGATCTCGGCGCTGTACGTGCCCGCCAGCGGGCCGAACCCGATGGAGAACGCCGTCATGAAGGCCAGCACCGACAGGACGCTGGCCGCCATGCTCGCGGCGCCGCCGACGCAGAGCGTCACGCCCAGCGACACCATGGACACGGCCACGCCCGCCGTGCTAGCGAGGAGGAGCGGGCGCCGGCCGAGGCGGTCCGAGAAGAGCGTGGCCACCAGGACGAAGCACATCTTCACGACGCCGGCGGCCACAGTGGCGCCGAGGACGGCTTTGTCGGACGACATGCCGGCCTTGCGGAACACCAGTGGGCTGTAGAGCACGAGGGCGTCGATGCCGGACGCTTGCTGGAAGAAGTTCACGCCGACCACGCAGACGAGGATCCGGCGCACGCTCGCCGACGGCCGGATGAGCAGCTCCTTCCAGACGTTGCTGCCTCGGTCACCGTCACTAACCTGTGGCTCCCTGACGGCCTGCTTGATCTCCTCGAGGCGCAGGTCGGCCTCGGCCGGGGTGTCCGAGGTGCGCACGAGCACCGCGCGCGCATCGGCGTGGCGCCCGCGCATCGCCAGCCACCGCGGCGACTCTGGCATGGCGAGCACGCCCACGGCGAGCAGCACCGGCGGAAGCACGCCGACGCCGTACATGATACGCCAGCCAAGGTGCACCGGCAAGCCGGCGAAGGCATAGTTGGACACGTAGCTCAGAAGTAAACCGAGGCTGATGAACATCTGCACGTGCAGAGCAACCACATTAAACTAAGTTTAGAACGAAAACCAGCAATGGACGACGCCGGCGTGAGTGCATATACATACGTCAAGGAAAGATGAGAGGAAGCCGCGCATGGACGCCGGCGATATCTCGGCGTTGTAAACGGAGGTGACAACAACGGAGAACCCAGAGCCGACGCTGGTGATGCAGCGCGCGGCCATGAGCGCGGAGTAGCTGCTGCCCAGCGACATGGCGAGTGCGCCGGCCATGAGGAAGACGTTGGCCAGTACGAGCGTGCCGCGGCGGCCGAGGAGGTCGGCCGCCCAGCCGGCGGCGAGGATGGACATGAGCATGAACACGTTGATGGACCCGGCCAGCACCTCGATCTGCGCGTCGGAGAGGCCCAGGTCCTGCCGGATGAACAGCTGCGCGCCGCTCATCAGGGCGAGATCTGCGAGCACACGAAGCACCCACCAAGTCTATCACCATGACAACGAACACATGCATGCACGGTTGCTAACTTGCTACTACGAGATGGTTGAGTGGTATGATGATGACGTACTGTAGCCCATGAGGATGGTGGTCATGGACGCGAGCGTGGCGCAGGCGAAGGCGTACATGTTCCAGCGTGGCTTGCCGGAGTTCGCGGACGACGCGAGCAGCGGCGCGGCGGCGCCATCATCGGCGATGCCGTCGTGCGCCATGGCGTCCTTGGTTCCTCGCTCGGTGCGTAGCCCGTGGCGGGCAGAGAACGAGCGAGGGCGGCGTAACAGCTAACTAGCTGTGATGAAAAGTTATGTACCGTCCTGTTTCCTAATTTTATAGGCTTGCAACAGATCTATGCTCGTCGTCCATGATTGATGGCGAATTGGCGATCGAAAATGAGATCTGGCCACGCGTGAAGACGATGAGCAAGTCAGCCTGCCAGAGTCCCTATGCTTCTGTGTCTGTTAGCTCATGGAAACGACAAGTGACTGCTACCTAACACGAGAGCTGCCGTGGCCAAGATGCTTTGATTCTCGTGGATTCGAAGCACAGAATATAGGGATGCACAAGAACATAGGGAGGCTGTAGGAGTAGTAGCACATGTACCTTATATATATTAAGCAATGTGAAAGATGTCCATACTCTGCTATGAAATTCAATACGTCTTGAAATCGAACTATAAACCACTACTAGATGCGAGCTATCTAAGTCGTATGAGCCCTCCCACTTTCGCATCTCTTGTCCGCCGCCCAACCTGCCCTCGCCACGGACGCACTACACTGGCTCCTCTCCTCTTGCACCCACACACCCCTTCCCGATGTTCACTCACTGTGTGATCCCTCCTTTGACACCTTTAAACCTCCTCCTTGTCTCCGTCACTGAGAACCTAATCCTAGCCTCTGATGTGGCGGTGGACGTGGCCATGGAGGAGGATAAGTGACGAGAGCCCAACGTAGCAGTATGTTAATTCCCTGGGAAAGATAAAGCCGACTAACGGACCCCCCGACCGATGCCATGGATCGCTGGGGGCGGGGGATATGCTCATCGGGTACGCTCGCACGTACCCTTTGAGTGGAGTCAAGGCGAGCCTGAGCATGATCGCAGCCACTGCTCGAGGCCTGGGGGCTCAGCCATGGCCTCACGCTACCAAGCGACGGTGGCCCAAGGCTGACCTCCACCCCAGCGCCTCATCGGGGCTAGTGCCCTGCCTGGCCAGCGCCCAGGCAGCGACTGATGTCTCGAGCCACAAGCCAAAAACCAGCTCAAAACCTGTCTTGTGGCCAGGGCTTGACGGGAATGGAGATGCTGCATCATCTGCTCATTCGACGACCACGAGGCCCTGTTGGCCACTTTCTCGGCAGGGTCACGCAACGGGCGTGACGCATCAGGATAAAGTACTCCCTAGTCAGGGCAGAGGGCTCCAAGCCCACTCGTCAGCCGCTCCAAGCGGGGGAGGCTTCTTACGCACCAAGGAAGCCTTGAGAACTCACACTTGGGGGAGGCTGCATGGAGACATGCTACCCCTGACTGTCAAACGCCACAACAAAGGCAGTGGCGTCAGGGGATGGTTGCAGCACTGTCGGCTCCCCCTACACAACAAGGTGATGCCTAGCAATGCCACAGCAGAGGACTCATACACCCAGTTTATAGACCTTAGACTAGAACAGGAACCGATTTGTACACTATGCTCTCTTGAGAATATATGGGAGGCACGGTTCCCCAAAAGAGGAGATCCAATTCGACCCACCTCAATTCGAGGAGAAGGGACCGAGGAGGAAGACGCCGAAGAACTCTAGGATAGCATCGAGCGATTCCCTACCAATCTCTCTCGATTTCAACCATTGTAAAACCTCGATTGGGCATTCCTAACACGAAGATCACTACTGCAGGATGTAGGGATTAGAAGCCCAAACCAGGATAAACCGATATGTGTCCCTTCCGTGTTTTTAGTGTTTGAGCCACCGGAGACCCACGCATCGACCTCCGATGAACAATTTCGATGCTTGCTGCGGTTACGAACCTGTGACGATGAGCTCCAGCCTCCTACTGCTGCTAGCGCACACTAACAGGAAGTGGACCTTCGGTCGCATCACATCAGGTTCGGCTCCATCGGTGCAACCCTGGACCCATCTCCTTCATCGCGTTTGCTATAGAGTTGCCTGGCCACCATTGTTGTGGACTAGATGAGGTTGGATTCATGGCATCAAATGTAGAGATCACTGGAGAAACAACGACAGTAAGCTCAACAACACGCACACGCACAACACACAAATTCAAGCGATCAATATCCATGGGTGCAGCATCGTGGCGCCCTACTGCAACAATATGTCCTTGGCTGTCACCATTATTACCACAACAATGCCAAGGTGTGCGGTCCTTGTTTGGTTCATCTCCCCCCTCTCACTCTCCATTCCGTAGTACTTTCTTCTACCACTTCGGCTTCATCATATATACCAAACAAATGCCTAAAATCCTAGGCTTGTGCCTCTATGCCCTCTATATCCACAGAACTCGCTCGAGGTTGACCTACAAGACCAGCACAATATCCCTCAGCACAAAATCAACAAGGTCAGTGCTCCCTACTCAGCATCTTGTTTAGGGGCACTTTGGAAGATAAGATTCTAGAAATGCAGGAATAGGAAAAACGTAGCAGTAAAATGCCCTGACATTTTAAATCCTATGAATTGAGAAAACACAGGAAATAAATTGCAAGATGAGAATGTCTGGATAGAGCGCAGGAAAAACACAATAATCCGATGAGAGAGACTGTTTTCCTTGAGGTTCAACCTGTCAACCGCTTGGTAAAATTCCTCCAGAATTTCTAGCCATTCCATAAAATTTCATAGGATTTATAGGAATAAAATCCTTTGTCCCAAAGGGGTTCATAGGAAATTTTCCTATAGAATTTCAGTCCTCTAGAATTCTGATTTTCCTTTGTTCCAAAGGAGCCCTTAAAATAATTTCGTGCGTGTGTTCCACCATTTGCTATTTTGTGTTCTTCTTAACCATAAAAAAAGAACAACAACGTCTTCTTCCTTCTCTCCATGTAGTTGACTGCAGCAGTTCTCGGTTGATCCATTTTAGGATGGCCCTTTCAATTTAAGATTAAGAGATACCCCTACTGTCCAGGAAACAATGCAATTATTGGAACCGTGTCGGTCAAACCCCCTCAAATTAGTGTTAATATTTATGTCTCTAAATAAATATATTATAAAAATATATTCTATAACTAATCTAATAGTATTTATGTTGTCTCATGGGTGTTAGTACCTTTTTATATAATTTTAGTCAAAGTTTAAACTTTTTGACTCCTCGAAATATGAGAATTGTATTCTTTTGTGGATAGAGAAAATATTAGCAAACGTGCCCGTGCAATGTAATCTAATAGTATTTATGTTGTCTCATGGGTGTTAGTACCTTTTTATATAATTTTAGTCAAAGTTTAAACTTTTTGACTCCTCGAAATATGAGAATTGTATTCTTTTATGGATAGAGAAAATATTAGCAAACGTGCCCGTGCAATGGAACCCAATATATATATATATATATATATATATAGGAATCGGACTCCGCATCATCGGTAAGATGCCCATTTGTTCTAACTCGTATGGGCGCATGTCATGAGTCTGGGTCACGTACGGATGCGTAGCATGTGACCCTATATGTATTGGAGTCAAACTTTGCTAGACCAGTTGGTCAAGCCTCCGGGTGGCGTCCCCCTAGACCAGAGTTCGAATCCTTGATGAGACGAATTTCTGGTTGGCGGTGTGGAAAAAAAACCCCATCGCCTATCCCATGTTCCCAAAGCATAGGTAAAATAGACCGGTCCTCTCATTGGGTAACGGGCCCCTGTGTGCGGGCATAGCATGGGGTTTGGAGGGTTTCTTGGGCTGGGTGAGAAGTCCTCTACCCTAAGCTAAAATAGCTTGGGGGTGTCTACCCCTCGTAGCGTTAGTTTTTTTAGTCGTTATATGCAAGTTGTTCTAACTCGTATGAGTGAGTATGTCTCATGAATCTGGGTCACATAGGAGACACGTAGTGCCTGGTTAATTAGGGAAAGGTGGACGAAAAAATAGATGGACATAAATTTTGCCTCTTTAATCTCTATATAAACACCTAAAAAAACCCAAATATCACCGTCTACTCGGTGATACAGTCTCGATCCCTACTCACGTGTACTGATATGAATCACGCTCCACTCTCGGAACTCATGCGTCCACGTCCTACTTGGTTCTGATACGAAGACCGTATCCACGTGCCTGCGTTCGATCCCTGCTCACGTGTCTGCTTCTGATAGAATCATCCTCCACTCGAAGCACGCGTCTGCATCCTACCAGGTTCCAATACGAAGACGGGATCCACGTGTCCACTTCCCATATGATGTCCTCAGAGTTCACGTGTCGGAACAGAGAGCGACGAACCCATCTGAAAGCAAGGGCAACAACTAAGAATGCTCTTGCCTAATCCCCCTACTAACCCAGTCTAGGATAACACAATCCGATGTTAGGTGTATGCTTCAAGTACCTCAAAACTCTTTCCATCACCCTCAAATGAGAGGCTAGAAATCTAACACACATGCATATACTAGGCATGATGATGTCTGGTCTTGATGTGGTTAAATGGTGTAAGTTTTCAATCATAGCATGTTTTTGGGATTTTTCTAGATTTTTATGATATTTTTTCCATTTTCCTATAGCTGAATTCATTTTTAAAGCATCTAGAGATATTTTTCAAGAGCTTGAAATATTTTATTTGGATTTGGTATTACCATTATCTATCTTTAGATTTTTCTTTTAAAATTTTTGAAAGACTGGATATACTTTATGGGGTATAAAAACCTTATCAAACATTTACCGAAATTTTTAACTGAAAAAGGTATTAACACCTTCAACACCATTCCAAACTAAGTAATTTGAACGGTTTTGAGATTTGTTGTGAGTAAAAAATGTTTAGTATATTATTAAAACGTGGGCTTTTTCCATGTTATAGGGCTATACGAGGCATATAGATCCAGCCTCGCCAGAGCCCAAGACGCCGAACACGAGACCGAAAGCCTGCCAAGTCAGTCAGTCCGCGGCCTGCGAGCCCGCGCACGCAGAAACGGCCCGGGCGACCAGCAAGCCCAACTCGAACGGCGAAACCGGCCCGAGCTCCCAAGCCCATTTTTTTTTCCTAAAAAAAAAACACCAAAAAAAAAAAGCTCTCACGCGCTACGGGCCCCACGCGTCAGCGACAAGCCTCGGCCACCGCCCAACCGCAGATCGCATCGAACTCCCCTGGGCCCAGCGTCCAGGGCTCCAGGCGCCACCGCCTTCCCGCTTCCGCCACGGCCCCGCGCGCGCCGTACCCGTATATAACCCGACCCGTTCCCCCCTCCTGTGCTCCTCCTTCCAAATCCGCCTCCGCCCCCACGCACACGCCCCAACCAAACCTACCAAGCCAAACCCTAGCTAGCCAGATTTTCGAAAAAAAAATTGTCCCCAACCCGAACCGCCGCCGCCGTGAGATGGCCGAGTACGACGAGCGCTACCAGGGCAACGGCGACACGGCCACGGCCGCGGCCGAGGGCGGCTACGCGCACGCCGAGTACGCCGCCGACGCCGCTGGGGGTTCGCCGCCCGCCGACAGCAAGCCCGCCGGGTTCTCCGACCACGCCGACGGCCGCTCCTCCCAGCCGCAGGTTCGTGCGCGTGCCCCCGATCCGATGCCCTGTAGTTAGGTGCCGACCGATGACGCGATCTGTGGGAGTTCGAGTTCGATGTGGGCTCTAGAGGGATAGATCCGATTTATCGGGTGTATTTGTTCTGTTGGGGCGTTATGGGTTCGATGTCTAGTGGGTGCAGCGGTTATTATTGCTAGCCTGTGATTTCAACTGGTGGTTGTGTGGTGATTTGATTCCCCACCAATAATTAATGCAAATAAAAGTAAAAACTGGTTGGTGAAGTGATGGTTCTGTACGAATTCATGTGGGTTAGTGAAGTTAGATGCCCAATGCTTATCAATTATGATAGGAAATCTTCTGTTTCTGTCAGTCTTGAGATTACCTGTACAACTTACCTCTGCTTATTATAATATATCATCTTATTCTGCAATCTATGTTTATGTTTCATAGTTCGTGTTGTGCAGATTAGCATACGAAGTAAGCCGCATGTTGGCACTTGATTGCTGGCCGGTTAAGGCTTCTTTTGACTAAGTGCTAGGTGCATTTTCTTTTGACCTATAGTTGGATTAGTTTTTGCTGCTTGTGGACTGATGGAGCTGTGTCAATCTTTGCCAACCTTTGTACCTGCTTAGTACCATGGTTTACAGTTATTAAAGTTTTTGCTGTTTGTGTTCATAATTACAGCCACCTGACTTGTTGAATTATTTCTTTTTCTCTAGCACGAGACACAATCACATGACAGTGGTTCCTCCAAATCTCGAGAAAGGGACCGAGAACGTGACAAGGGCAAGGACAGGGAGCGCGACAGGGATCATGGCCGAGAAAAGGAGAGGGACCGAGACAGGGATAAGGATCGTGAAAGAGGTGACAGGGACAGAGATCGTGATCGCCACCACAGGGACCGTCGTGAGCGCAGCGAGAGAAGGGAACACCGTGATCGTTCTGATGACCGTGACCGTCACCGTGATGATCGTGACCGTCACAGGAGCCATGATTCTGAGAGGTACTGGGTTGTATGTGCAGCTTACTTTTGCATATTTTCTTCTGCTTTGACTTTTGATGATTTACTTTTTGCTTGTTTTAAACTAGTTACTGAATTGGGAATTTTGTAACAAGTAGCCACCTAACTTTATGGGCCACATTCAGGATATTTGGAAAATTGTGAGAACATATTATTCGCATTCGCATGCTCTTTTAGTTGTCTAGTAAATAGTTTCTGGGTTTCGCAAGCTAGAGCTCCAGCTCCAAGAAAGACAGAGATTTGTTGGAGCTAGATATTTGTAGCTCCAAGAAATCTTGATCTGGAGCTGGAGTATGCCGAGATCATTTAGGTGAACCATTTTGCTTATATATACTAGTTTATTAGGCATTTATAATATTTCTACAACTTAATTTAGTCAGCAAACTGACACATCCAACCTGAATCTTGGAGTTAGATCAGTGCCAAAATCAGTCTGTTAGTGGTATTCCTTGATATTCCTAAGCTGCCTAATTTTTTGAAAAACTTAGTAACTAGAACTCTTTGCAGTTCCATAGTCATGCACCACTTGAGGTGTTTATTAGTGACTTTGTGTTGTATTTGTTGGCTCTCATCTGAGCATACCAAAACATGAATTATATTCTGATTCTGTCTTGGTAGTTTACTTCTGCTAGTTTCAAGGGATTCTGGAAATTGGTGCAATATTTTTTACCTGTCTAATCTAGGTTTAAAAGTTGCAGTGGTTTTCAGAAAAACTGTGACATGCTTGCATGGCACCTAATGTAATTAAAATCTCTTAGTCACTGGAACACTCTTCTGTTCCTAGTCACCTACTTCTTGAGTGTTTATTATTGGCTTTCTGAATTGTCTCTTATCTGAGAGACTGAGACAACAGAACAATATAGTATATGGCTAACTTTTAGCTAATTGTTTCACTTTCTTTAGTCAGCTTTGTTCTTAAAACTGCAAAGATTTTGTAGCAAAGCTATGATTTCAAAGTGTTCTATATTACGATGCCGAAACTATGAAGTTGAAAATAATATATTTAAAGGAAAGGAGACATTATGCCTTGATATTATTATATATCTATTGCAAAAAAATACTATTGTCTGCTGTTAAGATATGATGATGTATTTTTTGCTAATGCAGGAGAAGAGATCGTGATCGTGACAGAGATGGCCATCGTAGGCATCGCTCCCGCTCCCGCTCCCCTTCTAAGAGTCGTGACCGTGACCACGGATCTAGATCTCGTTCACGGTCTCAATCGAAGAGGTAAATGCTATAAGTTCACTTTTTTGTTGCTGATCGTACTTTTGGTTTACCTGGACCCAGTGAATACACAACTTGTCTTGTGATTTGATATCTTTGATGAAATGCATTTTCCATCACTAGTTATTATCTCCACTTTTTTACATGTTGGAAAACTGACTCTGCAGCGAGCATTTTTCAATTGCTATATGTATATGCTTATTTGTTGCTTCAAAATTCAGACATGTATAAGTGATGCATTGTATTGTTGATGCTATTCTTTCTGGGCACGATATATTCATTTCAAAAGAGTGGTTGTCCTTATTGTTTTATTGTACTATCTGTCTGCTGTACTGTGTTGTTCTGTTGTTTATCTACTTGCTAACATCTGTTGTCTTGAACAGCAAGCGCGTGAGTGGTTTTGACCAAGCACCTCCACAACAGGCACTTCCTATTGTTGCTGCTGGTGCTATCCCTGGTATGATTCTTCTTTACATATATTTATCCATAATTGGAATTACTCATCTATGACTAGTTAATATGCATACAAATTAATAAAAATGATATTTAAATTGTTCTTTAAGATTTATATATCAATGTTAATATATAAACTAGTGGTTCTGATAAGGTACTGAACTTTATTATGCCTAAGATTCTTTAGTGAGTTTGGCATTTGGGAACTCCGCTCTAATCTGAACTGTCTCCACAAAGAGTTATCCTTGTTAGGAATCAGATTTCTTCTGTATAGAAGAACTAATTTCATTTTATTAAGCCTGATGACTGAATCTGAGTAAACTTTTTCTTGTTTGTTCTTGGTGTTTGTTTTTGTTGTTGTTTATGTATATGGGTTAGAAGGCAACCTTGGCCCACTTTGTCATCTGCTGCCAATGGATTGAGCTGACTGCTGTAGCTTTAATGTACGAGGACACTCTCTGGTTTGATATCTTGTTCGTCTTCATATCAGCATGTGTTACATTTTTGGTAGTTTCATAGTTTGATTTTCTTGAAACAATATGCTACAGCTGATTGGAGTTTTGAGGGGAAAATATGGTTTTCTATGTAGGCTTTTTAGCAATGGTGGTTTTCTATTATTTTGTTCTATACAATATCTTTTGCTAAGCTAATTTCATCATCATTTTCATAAATTCTTCTGTTGATGAATTGCAGGTCAGTTTCCTGGTGTCACTGCTCCTATTACCGGGGTTGGGGTGCTTCCAAACTTGTATAATTTGGCTGCTGGACAGGTAATCCATGTGTTTCCTTTTTGGGTTTTTTAATTTGAGCTTCAACCATGAATGGTCATTCTGTCATGATCTGACATCCAAATTTGATAATCAACTGTCCTTGTTTCTTGGACACACTTGTATCTTCTATTATTTGATCATGTTTGTTGCTTTCTAATTTTGCTTGCCTTGCATCAGTTCAACCCCCTTGTTATTCAGCCACAAGCCATGACACAACAGGCTACGCGACATGCTCGGCGTGTCTATGTGGGTGGACTTCCTCCAACTGCTAATGAGCAGGTAATTACTTGGATAGCTTAATTTTTTTTTCACTTGTTCCTATTTGATCTTCTATATCCTTACCAGTTCATTATTTCATACAGACCGTTGCCATATTCTTCAATGGAGTTATGGCTGCTATTGGAGGAAACACAGCTGGTCCAGGTGATGCTGTTCTTAATGTCTACATAAACCATGACAAGAAATTTGCTTTTGTGGAGATGAGATCTGTGGAGGAAGCAAGCAATGCAATGGCCTTAGATGGCATAATGTTTGAGGGAGCACCCGTCAAGGTTAGAAGGCCAACGGACTACAATCCTTCCCTAGCAGCTGCTCTGGGTCCGAGCCAGCCAAATCCGAATCTCAATCTTGCTGCTGTTGGCTTAACACCTGGCTCTGCTGGAGGATTGGAAGGCCCAGACCGGATCTTTGTAGGTGGTCTACCATATTACTTCACTGAGGCCCAAGTGCGGGAGTTGCTTGAGTCCTTTGGACCTCTGCGTGGATTTGATCTTGTGAAGGATAGAGAAACTGGTAATTCGAAGGGATATGCCTTCTGTGTGTACCAGGATCTTAATGTTACTGACATTGCCTGTGCTGCTCTTAATGGCATCAAGATGGGAGACAAGACTCTTACTGTTAGGCGGGCAAACCAAGGAGCGTCTCAGCCTAGGCCAGAGCAAGAAAGCATCCTGTTGCAGGCACAGCAGCAGGTGCAAATGCAGGTACAAGCAAGCACTTTTAGACTGATTTTAGAAGAATAATGACAATGTCTATATTATTATTGTTTCAATTCTGACTTGAATCTTTGTGAACAGAAACTCGTATACCAAGTTGGAGGTGCCCTGCCAACAAAAGTTGTATGCCTGACACAGGTAGTGACAGCAGATGAACTGAGAGATGATGAGGAATATGATGACATTGTTGAGGACATGAGGGAAGAAGGACGCAAATATGGTAAACTGCACGAGACCCATCGACTTCTCTTACCCTCCTTGTTTTAAAAGCTTTTACATTCTGCTGTTATGATTATGATTGCCTACCCTCAGTTACTGAATTGGTTTCCTTTTGTGTTTTTGTCTTTTGTGTGTCTTTTTTGTAGTCCCACATAATGCCATTGCAGAGTGTTTTATAGTACGACCCTATGCAATATTGGCAATCGGGCCTTAACCCACAGAAGACACTATTCTTTTGAGTTTGATTAATCATTATATTATTAGCCTCTTGTCTATATATGTACTCACTAACACTTGGACAGGTAACTTGGTGAAAGTTGTAATTCCACGGCCTGACCCCAGCGGTGCTCCTGTTGCTGGTGTTGGAAAGGTAGTGTTTTCATTTTTCCTTTGATCTTTTATTCTTGACAGCATTTGGATAATACTGGCACGCATCCTGATTCATGAGTTTTTGCTGCACTGCAGGTGTTTTTGGAATATGCAGATGTGGAGGGCTCAACCAAAGCGAAGACGGGGATGCATGGGCGGAAATTCGGCGGGAACCAGGTGGTGGCCGTGTTCTACCCTGAGGACAAGTTCGCCGCTGAGCAGTATGACTGAGTTGTAGAAACTATTCTGGAGTTGCAGTTGCACCACACAATGTTGTATTTTTTAAAAAATTTTTGATAGAACGAGAGCGGTTATTCCTATTGGATTTGAATCTTATCTAGTTGAGTTTCGTGCTGAACCAGTCTATATATAAGTGATAAGTTTCGTGCAGAGCAGTTGGTCGGATGATGTGTACTGCTAGGACAGCTAAGATGAATTCAGTTGCTGTTTATCCTTGGTGCACTGTTTGCTCAAATTAAAAGGTGCCATTGTGGTGCTGTGCTGAGATGGAAAGACATGAGGGGACGTATGGCGCCAGTATAAAATATGCTGCTGCTGCTGAGGAAATATCGAATATCTGTATGCTGGATTGGGCGTTTTTATCAGAAGTTTGTACATTCGTAGTTCTGAAAAATAAAATAGAGAACATAATTGTACATTCATGCATGAAAGAATATCAGTAAGGCTGGGGCATGCTAGCTTAAGTTAGCTCTAAGTATTTTTCTCATATTTTAATAGAAGAGAGAGAAAAGCTAGCTCGTAATTAAGAGCTAAGGTTATATAGAAGTGTTATATAGAGCTATATGTTGAAAGTGAATGAAAATGAAAGATTTAGGAACAACTAAACTGCTTTTATTGATCTCTTATATATATATATAAAGTGAAGGGGTGTGTCCGTATAGACACAACTGTTAGTGTTCAAAGGACATGTCCCTTTGGTGACAATGGTTAACTGTCTATACTAATCCTAACTACCTCTATCAATGGATGAGATCATCTCTGTGAAACGATGTCGTTTGGATGGATGTGTCCCTTTGGCCAGGGGGTGCTATTTCACAACACTCTCCCTTGATCGAATCTTCTTTGAGATCAATGTAGTTGTATGTTTGAATTCCTCGAAAAACCCCATGTGGGAAAAATCTGAAGAATATGTATATATAGATATGCTAGAAAAATTCCTTTAAACCTTATAGTAAAATAAGGAGAAAATAGCATATATGAGTGTGAGTTAAATAAATCACTATGTCATTGGTATCCCATTAAAAACCCGAGTGGGGAAAAATATTGGAGATACGACATATAGATTACTTCCCAAAAACCTTTTCAGGAAAAATATGAGAAGCAATATAAAGTGATATGTCGCTAAAACTCCTGTAAAAACCCAGTGGGAAAATTAGAAGAAAATGTATGAGTTGGTATTGCCTCTTGGATAACTCACATGAAAAACCTTTTCATGAAAAAACCATGAATGAGTTGTGATGGCAATATGTGTCTTTGATATTTCCACAAAAACCCCGGTGGAGAAAATAGGAAATATGATACATGCTTATGTTAATATTACCTCATTAAAACTTTAACAAGAAACCTTATAAGTAAAACTTGTGAAAGAAAAGAGTATAATATGATGCTGGTACAGGTCAACATTTAGGAGATGTCTCCCCCTGATTCTGGCAAATCTCGAAGTCGCCGCATACCAATTCCATGTACCAATTTTTGAAACACAGAAGTTGGTAAGGACTTAGTAAATAGGTCATCGAGATTATCACATGACTTGATTTGCAAGATGTTTATTTTCCCGTTTTGTTGTAATTCATGGGGATAAAACAGTTTAGGAACAATATGCTTAGTGATATTGCTCTTTATGTAACTTGATTGCATCTGTGTAACACAAGCGGAATTATCTTCATAGATAATTGTAGGTGATTCGATTGAACCAATACCACATGACTGTTGTATGTGGTTAATCATTCTGCGAAGCCTTACACATTCTCGTGATGCCTTGTATAGAGCAATAATTTTAGAATGATTAGTAGAGGTTGCTGTCAGAGTCTTCTTAGAAGACTTCCATGAAATAGCTGTACCTCCATGTAGGAATACAAATCCTGTTTGGGATTTTTCGTTATGAGGATCAGATAAGTAACCATCATCAGTATAACCAATCATACTAGGATCATGATTTTTCTTGAAGAATAAACCAAGATCCTTTGTGCCATTAAGGTATCTGAGGATACACTTCGCTCCCGTCCAATGACGGCGAGTTGGGTCCGTACTATGCCTAGCTAGTAAGTTCACTGCAAATGCGATATCAGGCCTGGTGCAATTTGCAAGATACATAAGTGCGCCAATGACACTGAGATATGAGATCTCTGGTCCCAACATCTTTTCCCCAATATCCCGTGGTCTAAATGGATCTTTCCCTATTTCTAAGGAACGAACAACCATCGAAGTTTTATTAGGGTATGATTTATCCATATTGAATTTCTCCAATATCTTTTGGATATAGGCTGATTGATGCACTAAAATCCCTGAAGGACGGTGCTCAAGTTGTAAGTCTAGACAATACTTGGTCTTACCCAAATCCTTCATCTCGAATTCCCTCTTTAGATGTTTGCGTGCTTCATCTATATCCTTTGGGCTGCCAATGATATTTAAATCATCAACATACACGGATATAATACAAAATCCTGTTCAAGATTTTTTAATGAAAACACATGGGCAATCATCATTGTTAGAGTATCTTTTCTTTAGAAGGAATTCGCTCAGTCGGTTGTACCACATTCGTCCTGACTGCTTCAAGCCATATAATGACTTTTGTAGTTTTACACAATACATGTTGCGATTTGAGTTTGGATTCGGAATTTGGATTCCATAGGGAACCTTCATGTATATGTCCGAATCAAGTGACCCATATAAATATGCTGTCACCACATCCATCAACTGCATAGATAGATGATTTTGAACTGCCAATGATATTAAGTACCGGAAAGTAATTTCACTCATTATTGGAGAATAGGTTTCATTGTAATCAATGCCGGGTCTCTGCGTGAACCCTTGTGCTACTAGCCTCGCTTTATATCTCACCACCTCATTGTTCTCATTCCGTTTCCGGACGAAAACCCATTTAAAGCCTACAGGAAAGACTTTGGAAGGTGTAGGTATTGCAGATGTGAATACCCCTCTTCTAGTGAGCGAAGCTATCTCAGCTTGAATTGCTTCTTTCCATTGAGCCTAGTCCGAGCGCTTTTTGCACTCTGCCATGGTCTTGGGATCTGGATCATTGAGAAAGATTTCTGCAATTTCTGCGGAGAAGTACATGTCGACAACAGTAGTCTTACGATCGTATGATTCTCCAGAATCTATGTAATTGATGGAAATTTCTTTTACCCCATTATTTGACTCAACATTTCCTAAATCTATGGAGTTAGGGTGTTCCGATATCCTAGGATCAGAATTTGGATGCACCGTTGATCCGGGTTGTGGATTTGGTCCTGATGTTGGATTTTTATCCACTATTGGGTGTCTACCAACTTGAGGTTGGCTTGGATTTACTAATTTGGAGGATTTAGCCATCGGTATACTCGGACGCTTACTTGTAGCATTATCCTTAGGAGTGGCCGTACTTCTCCCCCTCTTCTTTGGAAGTGGGAGTTGAATGGTTTTTATTGGTACCTCCACTCTTTTGAGAGCATTACGAGCTGTATAAGAGGATTTAGTGACACCCTTATAATCAGTAAATGCTTCTGGCAGGTTATTTGAAATATGTTGCAAGTTTATGATTTTCTGAACTTGTTGTTCAGTCTCTAGAGTACGTGGATCTGAGGGGGAAATGCCTTGGGCATTCCAGATGATTTCCTGGCATTTATTTTGGTACTTGAAATCTCCCTCTAATGCCGGGAAATGGTCCTCATTAAATATGCAGTCAGCGTATCGGGCCATGAATAAGTCTCCTGTAAGAGGCTCGAGGTAGTTGATAATTGATGGAGATTGATATCCCACATAGATACCAAGTTTTCTTTGTGGATCCATAGAAGTACGCTTAGGCAGTGAGATCGGTACGTATACAACGCAACCGAATTTTCGCAGATGGGAAATATTTGGCATATTCACACGTACTAATTGCAATGGGGAGACTACGTGATATGCAGTTGGTCGCAATTGAATTAAGTCAGTAGCGTGTAAGACTGCATGACCCCAACATGAAGTTGGTAGGTTGCAATTTTGTAATAACGGTCTTGCAATGAGTTTAATTCTCTTAATAAGAGATTCTACTAAACCATTTTGTGTATGGACATATGGGATAGAGTGCTGAACTTGAATTCCCAAAGCCATACAATAATCGTTAAAAGCCTTTGAGGAAAATTCAACAACATTGTCCATTCGAATTGATTGAATTTGATGTTCAGGATGATGTGCTCTAAGTCTAATAACTTGAGCAATAATTTTTGCAAAAGCATGGTTACGTGTGGACAAAAGACACACATGAGACCATCGAGTAGATGCATCTATTAGAACCATGAAGTACCTGAACGGTCCAGACATTGGTTGTATGGGGCCACAAATATCTCCTTGAATTCGTTCAAGAAATTTTAGTGGCTCATTTTGAATCTTAACGGGCGATGACCGTACGATCAATTTCCCTATAGCGCATGAAGTGCACATAAAATCTGAAGATTTTGGGAATTTAATTAGCAGTATTTAACTCATGACCTTTAGAATTGCTGATAATTTTTCGCATCATCCCTATACCAGGATGGCCAAGGCGTTCATGCCAAATTTTGAATGTGTCAACATTCTAAAAAATTACCTTGTACGCAACATGCGGTACGGGTTTGATGTATGTGTAGTACAATCCGGACGGAATAGAGGGAATTTTCTCAACAATTTGTTTGCCATATCCGCTATTTTTAGTAACAAGGAGAATTTCTTCATTATTGTCATCACGGGTTTGTATATGAAAACCATTTTAACGGATACCTCTATAACTTAACAAGGTATGCTTTGAATCGGGATACAATAATGCATCCTCAATTGTAATTTGGGTACCCATGGGGAGTACAATAGTGGCACGACCAGAACCAACTATCGTAGCATCGCGTCCGGCGATTGTCAAAACATTTCCTTGTCTTTTTGTAAGAGTTTGGAAATACTTTGTTTCTCTAAGTATAGAATTAGTGGTACCACTGTCCACTAGGCATAATTCCTCCTCCATCAGATTGACCCCCGTAGAAACT